TGCCAGTGAATTAAGTTTTATGTCAAGATTTACTCTACGAACATCGTTCAACGGTATACCTCTATAGAAGAACTATTCCCAACAAAGCCTGCAACATTGCTAGTTATGTTAGTAGTTGTATCCGCCGGTAGATCAAATTGTATCTTGCTCAGGTAATTAGTTGATGAACTGTATCTCATTCTTAAGGACAAGAATGTGAAATTATTTTTCTACCATTTCCAGTGATAAACATAGGAGTATTGTTGAATTTTTCCTTCAGATACATCACAACGTTTTCAATCCCTTGTGGGTACACAAATTGCCAGTCCACTTCCCCCTGTTTTAAAAAAAAAATCTTTTAAAATATTACTTTAGCAGTGTAGAAAGTGCATGTAATAATTTGCAGAATGAGATTAAAGATAAGAATACTGATGTGATTTAAGGAAACATACAGGTTCCCCAATGTAGATGTCGTCTCTTTGTGTAGTCCTAAAATAAGAACCCTCTGACCAAGAGTTTCCATGTTCACAGGCAGAATATAAGCAATCTTTGATATAGCTAGCCGAATAATGATTGATGTCAATGAAATCTAGGCCATAACTCAAATTGCTCAAATCATTCATTGAAAATTCTGGAAGATTAGATCCCAAAATTTGTACCATTTTTTTAGGATATCTTCCTAATATAATAGGGTCTAAAAACCTGCATGCAGGTACTTAGTAAAAATATTTTTTACTCTCTTTCCGATGAATAAATATCATATCGTATAATCAAATTACTTTTATAGAAGGCTTACCAACTATCATCGAATGATCGAGCTCTATGTGTTGCAGCTATGTCTTCTGAGGAATTGCTTAACGGTTCATACCATTCGAAACCCATAGTAATGCCAATCACGCCTCCTTGACTTTTCTGAAAAGCAGCAGAAAATAGACTATCTTACTGATATCTTTTTTGGTCTTCTAACGAACTTACAATTTCAGGGTTGATTGAAATGAATGAATCAGAAGGAAAAGACCCCAAAAAGAAGAAAAGAAAGAAAGAGGGATTGCTATATTATGATGATTTGAGGGAGTTCCCAAAGATAAATTTTCCACATCTAGTCGTCTAAATAGACAATTCTTTACTTCGCCCAAAATAGTTAGAGACTCATGATGATATCTTGTTTTACCTAGTTGTTCCCTTTCCTTTCTTTAGACAAGTCAACCTATGTTGCACAGACACTCTAAAATGCGACTGTACCCGTGTCGGATCCTCCAAAGATACACTACTTTTGGAGGATCCGGCAAGCACCCGGCATTATTTTCGAAAAGTCCGAGTAACATAGAAGCTAATAGTAGCATTGCACTAGAAGATTAATTACTATTTGAACAAGTTGCGTGCAAGATCACGCCATGTTGAGAATTGCCATGATAATGGAGAAAAGGGAAAGAGTCGTCGAATAAACCTGATATCTGGTGCGGTAAATGCTGACGGCATCTACATGAGATAGGATCATATTGTGAGCTGCAATGAAGGGTTCCCTTTCTGAATCCCCAGCACTACAATTCCCAAATATACCAGAGCATCGAGCTGGAGGGCCAGTCCCATATCTATAGCCACTAATGGCCACGAAGTTAGGCTCATTCATCGTTACCCAGTATTTAACTCTATCTCCGAAGTATTTGAAGCATATGTTTGCTAAATAGCTGAAATCATTCCTGAAGCAAACCCCATGCAACACGAATGTAACTTGTTCATCATTTTGGGTTTTAATAGAATCTACAACTAGCTTTAAGTATATGAGGGGCCCCACTACTTATGGTAAAGTCCCATAAGTTATGGACAATTATTTGGACTAAATAAAATCTTAAGGATGTGATTAAAGCGAGCATTAGTTGTACCCAGGTCCACAAGAGAGTTCTGGGTTCATTAGGATGTGTGAGCGTATTTATAGTACTCCACTAGTTAGAAGTAGTTGTCAGTCATAAAGTGTGGCAAAGAAGTTAAAAATTGAGTTAATTAATGACTCTAATAACTTAATTGAGTTAATATATACCTTGAGATAGAGACCTTATAAATTACTGAAGTAATCAAATGAACCAATTATGAACCTAAATGGAGTAAGTTAGAAATTGTTATAACAAGTATTGATATAGTTTGATTCAACCTATGATGTTTGTTGATTTAATTGGACGTGCTTGACGTCATTTAATTATTTGGAGTGTGAGGTAGATGTAAGTTGAAATGTATGTCCCTTTAAGGTATTTTTATGAAAAAATACATATTTCCTAAGATATAGAAAATGTTTAGTAATGTTTATAATGTAGAATGCATGCTCTTATAAATGTTTTAAGATATGTAGAATGCATGTTTTAAGTTGTTTCACTTGATACACAGTTTAAAGCATTGGGCTCCTCTAAAATTGTGCTGTGACACTTACCGTATCTGTGAACTTAGCCAACCACCATATCTATCCTGAAGTTCTTGTGGTATGTCAAAATGTGTTAATGTGACAAACGGTTGGATCCCTAAAGCCATAGCAAATAACGAACTCGTGTGAGCCCAAAATTTTACTTTTTTTCTGCATTTTGGATTATCTAAAAGCATAAACTGTTAGCAAGAGAAGCAGAATGGACCTTTCTGTAGGAGTGCATCAATGAGCTTACTATAGTGCTCAATTCCGGCCATATTAACTTCTCCAAATATTCCCTCTGAATAAAATTACAACCGATAAAAAAATAAAAAAGAGAAAGATTCTCATTGTAAACGACAATTAGGAGTTTATTTGTTTAATATGAGGAAGGGGAGCCTTGGAGTAACTGGTAAAATTGTCTCCATGTGATCAGGAGGTTACGGGTTCGAGATGTGGAAACAGCCTCTTGCAGAAATGCTGGGTAAGGCTGCATACAATAGACTCTTGTGGTGCTGTCCTTCCTCGGACAGGGCATAGCAGGAACTTAGTGCACCGGGCTACCCTTATTTGTTCAAGATGAAGGAAAGAGAGCAGTGATAGTTATAACTTACTAGGCAGAATTCTTGCCCATGAGATAGAGAAACGATAGCTATTCACACCTATATCTGCCATGAGTTTGATGTCCTCCTGTTTACATTTTAATACCAAACAGATCAGAACTCTTCCATTTCACGATTTACGCTTTTATATTATTGCTAATACACTGCATTAGTGTAAGCAGCTTTGAAATTAGCAACAAATGCACATGTTCTTATCTGCTTTCATATGATGCTGATCAGTTTTGACCCATACACTGAAACCAATGTGAATTTTAAATCCTAATTACAAAGAAGAATTTAACTTTTTTGGCCCTTTCGTGTCAACATGCATATGCAATTCTGCATGTATGCCATCTGTCCAGCACAATTAGGCTGTTCACTTTTCTTATGCATGAACAAAATTAATTTTGATCTCCTAATAAAGCCACAAATAGTTTATTGTTGTGTGAGCAGTATTTCAGAATACCATGAAAACGTTTTGAGTATTAGCAAAAACCATCTAATTAATCTCAGTGTCCCTCACTTTAAATTCATATCAACTTTTTTGACATTTCACTCACGATAAAATACAAATTGTGCAAGGTTCAAAAGTACATTGTCCCCTCACTAACACCTCTCTCAGCTATATATATTTCTTAATTCTCTCTTTTCAAAGTTCATCGTTCTTTTTTCATTCACTTTTTACCATCCCTACTGAATAGGGGTGCTTATCGGGCGGATCGGGCGGATAATATGCTTAACGGTTCGGGTTATTGGTTATCGGATTATAAATACATTAATCCACTAGCCATCCAATAGATGACGGACGGATTGGTATCAGATTAAAGATTATGGGACGATTATCGGGCGATTTATCGGCTAACAGTAATGGCAGAAGAAGTAGAGAAGAAGAACCAGACAGCAGATCTGGAAGTGATAAATTAGAAGGTGCAGTGGTGGAACTACATAGATCATTATGGGTGCTCAAGCACCCATTGTCTTTGACTAGATCTAGTAGATTTACATAGACAATTAACCAAAAACTTGAATAAGTATTGAGTGAGCTAAATATGCATTCAAATATCTGTAAAAAATAAAGAAGGCAGACTACAAATATTATGTAAAAACATAGAAATTAAAGGTAACAATGTTTTTGCAATTTTTTCTTTTCAAACAAAATGTCAATAATAAATTGAAAACTAACTAAAGGCCTCAACCGGTTTTTGAAAAAATATTTGAATACAGTAATAGTATACACTTACTTTTTGGTTGTTTTTAATTATCAAATATTAGAGAAAGATATTCATAATATAATAAAAAAGGTTCACACCGCGCGAAGCGCTGAGAAATTTACTAGTATAAACATAAATATCTTAAAGGTAGTGGGTATGGGTGTAACAGCGGCTTCTTGCCAATATAGTGAATCTGATTTAAACACATATGCAGTCAAGAAGAAGGCAGAAAATTATTCTCAGTGCAATAGTAGAAAATTTACATAATATATCGGAAGTATTTACATTTAGAATGAATGTATAGGATTTTACTACATTAAGCAATAGTTACGTGACCCTTCTTGGTAAAATTAAAGAAACCTACTTAATTCTATATTGATGCCTCTGCCTTAAACAGATTTTGTTTTTGCCTTTAAAGCATTTTCCCGTTTAAATTCTTTAATGGGAGAAGGTCCAGATTTGTCCCCTGTATTATTGTAAATAGTTTATATTTATGCTTCGTTATACTTTTCGTCTAAATTACCCCTATTATTAAAGAAGTAAATAAATTTGCCTCCACCTCTAACGGTTATTCACAGTGGCACCTAACACCTCAATTAAAATGCCATTCCAGGTTACCATCTATTGCATTTATTTACTATATTAGAAAATTCCAAAAAAGGCTGCTTCTTCCTCAATGAGTGCTTCATTTTTGCTNATAGAGGGAGTGGAATTTGAGTTGTATTTGGACTGTCCTCTTTTGAGTTAACCACTTTCCAACATACTTTGGAAGCATTTTTTGTAAATGTATGAACATTTTTTAAAGGGAAGTTTTTTTCAAAAAATTGAACATCACGACTTACGAAAATTTTAGACTGTGCCGGGTCAAAGCAGATATGAGCGTGGTGAGTGTGAGAAATACCTAAATACACACAGGGGGTGGATCTAGGTTCAAGTTTATTTTTGGTGTATTGGTCAACAAAAACGCAATAATATAATTTTTATCTAGTGATAAAACAGGTGATGGTTCGCATAAATCACTAAAAACAATCTGAAGAGGCATATTACTGGACAAAGTGAGTCGTATGGCAAACGATGCGCTTTATTAGAAGAACAAGCATTACGAAATTCAAATTTTTCCTTGGTAGCAACAGAGTGCGTGTTGGTAATCTGTGTTCAAAATTAGTAAATTAGAGAAACAAACAACGTTAGTTCAATAAACAAATCGTAAAATAATTTCGAGTCCACAAGTTACTTGTGTGTCCTTAAGGAATTTAATCCCCTCATTGTTGCTCAAGGTTATGGATTACTTCCTCCTAGGATAAAACGGAAAAACAATGGCTCTTATGCCTTCGATCGAAGCGATCTTTTATGTAAGATGGCGACAATGGCTCTTACGCTTCGCCCTTAGGCGTGTGTGTGTGGCCCTGAGGCTCAATAGACTGGCGACAATGGCTCTTATGCTTTGCCTTTAGGCATATGTGTGGCCCTGAGGCTCGCTAGGCTTTATTTTT